AAATATAAATCTTGTGCATTCTGTTGTAATGTTTAAACCATTATATTATTTACATGGGATCTTTAAAGCTCACATGATAAACATTTGAAGTCAAGGACCCTGTGGTAAAACTAAGACACAGGCAACGGATAATATAGGTGCTGCTGACTGTGCAAAGATGCCCCTGAGACAGTCCGGCACATTAAAGCTGGTTGGATGATACTGCAAAACAAAGAAGCTGGAAGAGCGTACATCTGTGTTTGTCATGGCCTTGAATTCCCTCAGTCTAAGTGGGAGGCACCAGCGAGAAGCCATGGAAATTACAGGGTTAACATCCTGTGGGACTTCCAGCTCCGAAAAGACAACAGATGATCAGTAACCGATGAGACATTGTGGTGCAGGACAAAAGCAAGACAGTAACACAGTGGGGGAGGTAGCAGTGATTCCATCAAAACATCGAAAATAAGAATAATAAAAGGGTTGAGATATACAGAGAGCTTAAAGCTACAGTGTGTAATAATTACAGGCATATAAAGTCAGAAATTTAATATATTATACATAACTATGTTATTTATCATCACCTATGAGCTCAGCCTTTTAACCATAATATTTGCGTTGCCTTAGAATTCGTTATTTATAATTCCATAGGAGCGGGTCTCGCAGCCATGGAGGCTGACATCTTTGCGCTACGGCAAGCGCAGAGGCAACAAACTAGCGATTGCGAGATCTCCCATGACGCTCAAAAATAACTACGGCAAGTTGAGAGAGATGAACTGAGACGGTACTGAACAGTAGATGGCAGTATTATGCCTGAGAAGCGTTTAGTCTGCCTGAAACCAAAGAAGAAGAAGAAGCAGGTATACTGCGCATCAGTAACAAGAAAGGTGAACAAGGCGGCAGGCGTGAGTGACTTTGCAAACTGTTTGGCCAAACATCAGACGAATGGAGGATCATGCCTACTCTGTATCACAACGAAAAACGGCGGACACCGAACCCCCGTCATCTAAGAAGCGGAAACACGACGAGAATAAACGCAAGCGTGACAAGAAACGACAAAAAACACGGATCAACATTGGCACGGCATTTACACGATGGAAGTCACTGATGGAGGAAAAAGGTTTTCAAAGTGACGCTCAAGTTGCCAGTTTTCTCTTGGACAGGTAATTAATCCTACACACACAATTGTCTAATGTCACTGCAGTTTTTGGAGTACGGGATGCTCAGACCTGTCTAAAACAATAACATGCTGCGGCGTGATGATGCTGTTCCTCTCCAGTATACTTATTCAGCAACGTCCCTGACGTTTCATAGGTAATGATTCAGTAATTTTCTGTAAAATAATTTTCTGGATATATACCTCGGTTACTTCTCTCCGGCTCCTTTGGAGATCTTCAAGCGTTTCCTCCTCTGCTCTCACCCCGCTGGCACCCCTCTCTCGCCTGGCCCTAGCAGCACGGCCTCCCTGCCTTCGCCCTCGTCCTCTCCCTCTTCCTCGCGTTGTAACCCCCGTGCCACCAAAATGACTTGGACTCTGTAAACGGGGAATATATATTCTTCCAGCGAACACAATCTCGCTGTTAAACTAATGACTACCATTACTTCGTCTGTTTATATCACCATGCAAAGCAGCTCACCAAAACGTCACAACGATGTAGAAAAAATAACGGGTATATTTATTATCTTAAGTCTACATGAAATCTATACCCTACACAGACTAATGAAATACTATCTGTAAAATTATCTATGTAAACAAACCTCATCACTTGAGAGGGTAGGTGATGTGGACGTCGTGGAAGAAATTTTGTCCCGTAACGCTCGCCGTACTGTTGGGGGGGAGAAGCGGTGGGGGGGAGATGTTCATGTTGCTGCGGTCTGCAGTCTGACCGCTAGATGTCGCTGAAAATTACACACTGTAGCTTTAAATAGATTTGTGTTCAGGGTAATATTTGTCCAACATGCATATTCTAACTGAAGGGTAAGCAAAAAATATAAATCTTCACTGAATTTCATAGAAAATATGTGAAGCAAGCCAAAAATTAGAGCATTGATGATGATGCTTTCCAAACTCATATATCAAATTATCAGTGGAAACATGCAAAAAAAAATTTTGTCAAAACTAGAATGGTTTGTTCGATTGCTGTATATAATAAAAACTTTCTAGTCAAGTGTAGATGCAAAATGTATATTTTTTTCCACAATTAACACTTCTTTTACAGCGTTACATTATGTTCATAGAGATGCTTCTCTCATTTTAAACCAGAGACTACAATCAGGTTTAAAATCCTTTTCAGAAAAGGTGAGGTATGAATATAAATGTTAGATTTTGCAAATTGTTTTGCAGGAACCTATTAAGAGAAAAACCTCATTACCATGTTCTGCTCAATTATGAGATTAAATCGTTTGCATTAAGGAGCATGAGGTCAAATCCAACTGTGTCTTTATCTGGAAGTGAGCAGCTGCTGCAAACTGAAAGGCTCCTAGAAAAAACTCAGCTTCTTTGTGAAGAGTCACCATTGAGGACAGATTCCACAACTCTTTCTGCAGCGCCATGGTGATGGATTCATGTTGGATTTCTGAGTCCTATTTTTTTACTGTGCCGCTATAAAGGAATTATCTTACGCCGGTATATTTATATCCACGTGTTACTGTAGTCACGAAGCCGATACTATCTTTAAATTGGAAAGAATATGTCGATTTTTTTTCAAACACCGTCTAAAAATGCTGACTTTAGAAGAGCTAATTAATTACTAATGCCTTATTACCAAACACCTTTTAGAGACTTTCTGAAAAAGGAAACTAAGGATGTGAAAAATTCATTTTGATTGAAGTGTTAATTTATGCACCTAATTATTTTTCAGCCTGTATTCAAAAGTTAAAAGTAGTTTTGTAAGTCTTTGCCAAAAATTTATAATAATGTCCTACTTTCTTCAGCAAAACTAAAAATAACGGCTCAGTGACAAGAGAACTTTAAGAAATTTACTTTTTTATAAGAGCTAATATAAAGTTCTGTTGCATGACCAAATATATGTTTTCAAGTCCATCAATTCAAATATATCTTTTAGATCGTTTAAGACCGTGCTTTCAAATGTGGATATCTCTGGACTATTTACCAAATGCAAGAAGTGTTTAAAATAAGAACAGCTTTTTGTGGAAAATGTTGACCTTAAAGTCTAAAGGTCTACATAAATCTGTATGCATTTCTACTGGTAAGGATCTCCATTGAAAAGCATCGGAGCCCTCAGAGAGCTGGCTGAAAGGACCTGGCACTGTTCTTATCTTCCCCGCGTTGCTGTGTGACTCACGGCATTAGCAGGCAGCACAGTCATTAGGGGCAAGAAGACCTTTCATATCTCCGACAGCCCCACAGCCCTCCTCAGGGTCGGCCAGCAGGGACTCACACACACTCCCTGCCTCCTCCCTCCTCTGAGCCTCAGCTTTTTGTCTCAGTCCCTCGATCCTCCATTGTGACTCTGTCTCACACAGATTCAATGTCAGGTGTTCTCTCGCTGTGTTAAATAAGTCATTTTTTTCCCGGTGCCTTAGGGGGCACAGCTCATGTGGCCCCCTTCAATCACATCCATCATCCGGCGCATAAAACCACTCACACACATAAGCCTAATATGTGCTGTTTATGTGTGGCAGACAGCAGCTCGGTATATGAGTGTTGGAAATATAAGAGGTATTCAGGCGTGGGCTGCTGGCTGCTGTTGGGACATATCACCCCGTCTCTTCCTCGCCACGCTGTTTTTTTTTGTGACACCCACGTACTTTTAGTGAGGACACGGACCACAGTGTTAACCCATGATGGAGGGATAAGTTTTAAGCATGGAGATCTAATTCTTTGTCTTTCTTTATCAAACAAAGAAACGACAGGAAAGCTGATTCTGTGCTACAAAACCTTGCCTTATTGTAGTGAAAGACAATAATTAACAAATTACAGCCCAGCTGAAACAATGAAACAGCTCACTGAGTGGCATGCCAAGTTTGAATAAACAACTAAATTAAATGCTTGCAAGTTTTTCCATATTTTCTGTCATCTATTTTATTTTGCAGAACTGCCTTCTGCAAAAAAGCATGTCCTCCAAACAGAATAGATTTTATTTCTTTTTATTTATGTCCATTATCATCTCAGAAAATTGAATTTTATTCTAAAAAACCTATTTCTCAGGTAGATATAGACCATTATCTAGTAACAATGTCAGTTAGAAAGTTAGGCTTTTAAAATTGTTAAAGGATTTTCTATCATGTTTTTTTTTTCTTGGAAGGTAAAGCTCTTTACATTAAATCAGCAAAGAAAGTGTCAGTGTAAGTGCGCCCCTCCTGCACTTTTTACTCTGCACTGACATCCAGCAGACTTAAAGGAAACTACTGCCCTCATTCTTTTTCTGTACAAGAAAACAAATAACCAATATATTACTAGTTTTAAAAAAACCTCATTCAACCTGTCTAAATTAATAAAGTGAAAGTGGCAGAAACACACATTTGTACCATTTTTTAACTGAAGAGTAGAAGCTTGCAACATGCAGACTACTATGTCAGATACCCTCACTATTTAGCCAGACAGAATCATATTAATGTATAACTCATAACTCTATAAATAACCATAGTGGTAGTTTATTTTCTTTACAATAAACATGCTTGTGTATCTTCTAGAATGAATACAAAAATAAAATATTTTATTTTAATTATTTTATATAATTATCTGCTGCTTTTTGGTTCACATAAAAGCACTTAGCTTATCAATATGTTTCCGTTCACACTTTTTAAAGCAAATACTGTTAAATCCTATCATTTCTCCTATGGCATAATAACCTTAAACTAACTTATTAGCAAAGAAAAAAAAAAGCCGGACTGATGCATTCAGTCCTAATATTTATCACGAATCAAAAAACATATAAAAAAACAGAACCAAAAATTGACTTGGAGATGATACAGAACTTGTTAAACATGAGAACAACTGACTGCAAATTCCCTCTGTGGCCTTAAATATAAGATTAAGCTGCATGAAGAAACTGTCTTACCTCATGTTTGCCCTTCATCCTGCAGATCCGAATGTCATTTTTATTCGACTCCCAGGTTCTTTTCTGCACATGAAAAAACAGGCATAAATGATCCCAGCTGGTTAGTTACTTGTGCATGTCTCTGTAGACTTAAATAACGTCTCTATGGAATTTTATAAATGCTACGTGTGTCTATCTAGGAGACATACTTTGCTGTAAAACATCTCATCCCCTGCACTGTTGTCCAACTCCACTCGGAAAAGGTCATCCCTGTACAGAGAGACAAAGAGAGAGAAGGTGACTGAGCTGTGCCAGTCAGTGCAGAGTTATCAACAGCTTCACAAAGGACACTACTGCATTAAGGACACTATGAAAAATTACTGTTGCACGTTATTGCAATTTATTACAGACTCACAGAATGACTCTCACCCTTTTTTCCCCTTTTCATTAAAAACCTGTATCTCTTTCCATCTGTTGCAAAAGTCTGTGTTGAGAAGTTCATGTTTGCAGTGTAGCAAAAAGTCAAAAAGATTGACGTGGTAAGAATATCTCTGTATGGCTCCTATGTATACAAATTTACAAAGATAATATTTCTAAGCTTGGTATATTTTTGCACCATCAAAGCCCACAAGTTACATTTATTTATTAAATTAAACGTATCAAAAGAGATATTTAGATCAGAGCTTTACAAGGTCTGCCATTTGTCAGCAATCAAAAGAGAAATGACACCCCTCTCTGTCATAAAGTCTCACATTCTGCTCTCAACTTTAGCCTCTGATCATTAAACTTGACTCACTGCCTTGGATTTTCTGCTCAGCCTCCCAACTCAGGCTTATCAGCCAAACTGAAAAGCCAGTAATTGAATTAATGAATGATTTAATCAAGTGGTTACATTGAGGCTTTCACACCCTCACATGCTTCCCACACATGGCCCAAAAAAACCTAACGCCATGAATAAATTCATAAAACTCCAAACACCGCTTTATTGCACTTTTAATCCGGAGATAATTGTGTGGCAACCTTGGATGTACCTGTGAGAAATGCCTGCTGAACAAGTGCTATGCCGGGCAGATAAAAGCTGTGGTTTGCATATTGATTAAGGCCCTCCTATCTATTGGGGTGGATCAGAAGTGAGGCGTTCAGCTAAGCACAGGGCCACACTCTGAATGGTCTAATCTGTAAATCTCTGATAGCCATGTTAGTGCTGCGCTATCGATCCCATCCCTCATCCAGCTCCGTCCCTCATCTCTGCTGCATTTTCTCTCTTGGTATAACCTTTTCTCTGACAGCGGGAGAGGTTATCTTTGTTCACAAGTGCCTGCCTATCCTTTTACAAAAAGAGAGCATATATGCAGAGTACATGTGGATTTGCTGATGATTTTATTAACAGGGAGAAGTTAGAAGTGAGTGCTTAATGAGACTGCAGGTACCATCTGATTACTCTTCCCCTGAATAATTTATCTTCATTTCCTGTTGTTCTGTTAGAAGATTACCCCCCTTAGTCAGCCTTGCAGAGCTCAGGGGTGAAGAAGCATTGGCTTAGTGCACCCCCCCGCTTAACAGGTCAAAGTCTGAAAACAGTGTGGGGCAGCGAGTCGCACCTAATCTCATCGAGGCTGCCTCAGCGTTAGCACCGTGAATAAAGCTTATGATAATAAATGGCTGGAATCATTTTTTTAATACATTTGTCTTAATTTCTACCTCAACTTCTATCAGGTTGTTAAATATTTGAGATTTGGGAATGCAGGACTATGTTAATGTTAGAAAAAAGGTATTAAAACTGAACATTTAAAGCAAGAACAGAAACGTTTTGCGAGTCCTGAAGTACTCAAATATGTAAGGCTGAAGGACTGTGCAGTGTCACCGTTAAGATGATTTCCTTATTAAAATGTTCAAGAGGTATGTGATGTTTAATAGAAAGAGATGTGTACCAAAAAATATTACATATTATTTTAACTGCAAATGAAAATAATTGGTCTTCAAAGATCCAGCCTCAAAGAGCACTTCTAGTGCTTAATATACTGCCTGGCCAGCAATAACATGAGTCACCCACTCTGGGTCGGGTTAAATACTAGCATAGAGTGGAGAAGGAAAAAACTTCACTTATCTTTATTTAATAATTTTCTTTGAACATAGTTGGGAATGCCATGTATACTCCTTTTTATACATATATATATCTATATATTTTTTTTATCACTATAGGGATGGCAAATTTCAATATTACTATTACTATTATATACAACTACATCTTATGTTACAGCATGTTACTTAAAGAATCTTATATGGCGAAATGTATGTGGTCAGGCATTCAAATAGCTCAACTAGCTCAAGAATGCTATGACCATGCTATGATCTTGAAATAATTTATTTACATTAAGCTTGATTATGAACATCTGTTTGAAAACATGGCAGAAATAAATTGTAGGAGAAAATAATCTTTGCCTGGACTTGAACACATTAAAATATATTTACCGAAAATCCGTCTCGTAAACCTCTTAAGTTTGCAGGTTTATTTTCCTTAAAGGCAAACTAATACTTTTTAAGGTTTTTCTCAAGTTATACACTACCTATAATGCTAATCTTGTTATCAACTGGCATAAAGGTCCTGGTGGATGAAGTGGAAGTGAAAATTTGAAAGTAAATTATTCGAACTTCTGACAAAAAAAAAAAAAAAAAAAAGACGGATGTTTATATACAAAACTTCTTATTTATTTCTTAAGGAAATAAATATGATAAACTGCAAATACAACTTAGTTAGATATGCAGCAACTTTAGTGTCCATCCAACAAGCAAAGGAGAAGTCACATTCTGCAGAATCCAATAATATGCACCAATTTGAGATAAACAGAAGCTCCAGTGAATCACATGCAAGAGTAGTAGAGGTCTTTGTAGTTTGCACACAGGTAGTTTCCAAATATGGGCATTTTACTGTACCGTAATACAGAGAAAAGAAAAAACTTTTAGCTGAAAATAAACTATAGGTCTGATATATTTAAGAAACTGACTTTTATTTGGATGAAAATATCTGTTCATGAAAAAAAACAGCAAAGATAGGACAGATTTTATGTGCTTTGCTTGGTTTTCGGGTGTTTTTGGAGGAATTGATTGAGTGGTCAGCTTTAAACGATCAGAGTTTTGCTAATGGGATTGACTGCGGCCAATTCAGTGTCTTGTTGGCTTTCATGAGAAATGCATAATTCAGCGCTGCAACTTATGTTGTTGAAACGAGGCCCATCGAAACCCATCATGGGTCATAAATTGTATTTTTCCTATCTGAGCACGTTTTGGCAATATGTTTAAGCTGTAGTTGGTGGATATTAGAAGAAAGTAGATAGCCTTGTAGAGGTGTGAGATGAAGATCTGGACATATTGTAAGTGTGTGTCAGTCTCAGAGTTAGTCACCTACAAATTTACTATTTTTGCAAAAACAGCTGCAGCACCCTTGGAAGAGGGAGCACAGGCTTAAGGGGATAAGAATCTTAAAACTTGCTCTGCTTAAGCTTCGCTACAGTTTAGATATTGCAGGATAATTTCTCTCAGTTAGAAAAAACTGTTTAATATTTTATTGGATTACTTTCAGCTTTGATTACAGCATGTCACTGATGTGACCTAGTTTTCGTATATTTATCGCCATGTCCCAGCATCCAATTATTGATGAGTAAATCAAACCAATGCATTCACTCTTATTCTACTCTCCCAAAGGTTTTCATGCTGTTACTCTAACTGTAATAACGCTGTCTGATGCATCTTATTTCTTAATCTTGGAGAAGTAAAATTTTGCATTAACTTCCAAAGTGGTTCATAAAAGTTCTCTTGGTGATAGATTGAGTATTTTCATAGTAGTGATCTCTTCACCAGATGTGAGTTAAACCAAGGAAGTGACTGTTCTCCCCCAGCAGACACTATGAACCCATTACTCCTCTCATCCTCATTAGCTCAATTTGCCCTGAAAATTTACATCAGGTTTTAGGTTTCATTCTGTCAGACATTGTTTTTGTATTCATAACTGGTGTCTCCCCATTACCTGTCACACATTATTAATAGCCTCAACCTCTCTGACCTTGGTATTAAAAAGCTTACATATTTGTCCAGATAAACTGTCAACATTTCCTAAATTTTTACTTGACCACCTAGTGAACCCTCTTCTTATAGCTCAGCCAGACAACAGCAGAGCTGAGGTCAAGACCTCTAAAGCCCCACATTTTTCTTTGAGATTCTCCTGTCTTTCTTACTAGCTGCTGCATTGCGGTGCATGTGAACTGCAGAAAGGCTTTCTAGTACACAGGAGGATAAGTTGGTCTAAAGGGTTATACAAGGATGGCTTAAATATAAAAGAATGAGGTATTTAAGTTGTTTTTTGAGATAAAGATAATATTGTTCTTTACCATTAAAAATCTTGAGAGACCAAAGACAACCAACTCTCATAACGGTTAAAATAAAAACGTATTCTAATAAACAGTACATTCAGTAACATTAGGACTAAGAGGGCTGGGCGCTCAAACCTAGAAAAATGATTATCATCAATGAACCATGGAGTTTATTTTGGGGGAAAAAATATCCTTACCTTCCCTACAATATGACAACTTCTAAGCAAGCGTTGGGAAGACAAATTAAATGTATTCTGTGTTTTAGAATTAATAAGTTATCGCCTAGCCATTTTCTTCACTGCTTAAGCCTTGCAGGGTTGCTCCAATTCCCATAAAACACAGTGAGGAAGTATCTATTTTGTGTCCCGGTCTTTTGGCTGACCCTAAAGACTAAAATACTGAACAAATAATAAGACATTTTATTTAAAAGTCAAGTAAAAAACTCTAGATTTTAGCTCCATTTTGCAATTCCAAACCTTCCAAAGACTTAAATGCATGTATTATTTGTATTTCTCACTTCACCTGTGTTGGTCTGTCTTTCAATCAGAGCCCTGTCTGCATTCAGAGCCTAGTTCTTCAGCCACATCAGACTGACAGCTGGGACCTCCTAGTTTTCCAATGTTTATAACAACCAAGTTTCATCGTAGCTGTCTGCCATGAAACATTTGACCTGCCTGTGCCCTGAGCAGGGCCTCTGTTGACATCTGAGGTCAGCATCTGTGGGCTAATAACCGACCTCCAACCTGGCAGCTCCAGCAGACTCATACGCAGTTATAGTCATTGCCCAATTGGAACTAGAGTTGGCTATTTCCATGCATATTGTCAAATATAAACACTTAAACTTGTTCATGTTTGCATAGATTAGCCTTTTGGGTGTGGATGAGAACTGGCGCCCTCAGCATT